AAATATGTTCGGTTTAATCAACAATGCTCGTCGACAAGCACCAAAGAAATAAGCATGGTTTTGGCTTGCGGTTTGCGTCGTGGCTCTGATATACTCCAAGAATTTCAGGCACAGCATGAACAAATCGAACAAGCTCGTGGACAAATCGTACAACGTCATGAACAAATTGAACGACGTCATGATCAAACTGTTCTATGTGAATTGGTCGTTCTTCGCGGTTGGTGTTGGAGTCTTTGCTCTTCTTCCGAATCTAGCTCCTAGACCGCTAATAAACCTCCAAGAAATGTGCCATATTGACTTCTTTGCTCTCCTCAAAACCACTGGAACAGTGGGCTTCTTCAATCTGTTCCTCTTCCTTGGCGATTACTTGAAGGCAAGTCAAGATTTGTCCATTTGTCTAGCAGGTTTAGGTCTGTACTTCTACCTCTTGGCTCTCGATATTGAATTCGGAGTTGAAGATGATCTTGGTTTATGCGACGCGTTGCTCTTAGCCCTCTACGGCACTCTTCTCCCGAAACTCCACATTTCTGCTTGGATCATCTTCGTAGCTTTCTTCTTCATGGTTCTTATCAAACAAGTAAAGGCTCCAGTCGCCAATCCAGCCAACGACGTAGAGAATCCACTCGCCCTCCAGTTAGTTCCATCCACCAACGGGTTATCTTCACCCACCGCATCGAATCCCTCCTCCACCACACCAAATCCCTCCGCCACCGCATCGAATCTCGTCACACTGAATCCCATCGAACCGAGTTCCATCGAACCGACTACCGTCAGTCACAACTCATTCTGTCACCATAACCACCGGTATCAACCGGAGACGCACATGGCTCTTGTCCCTCTGGAACTCTTTGAAGACACTCCAAAACCATTCCAAGAAGCTGCCGCAAACGCAAAAGCCGAGGACTTGGCTCCAAACGCAGACACCAAAAAATCCGCCCCAAACGCAGAAGCCCTGGACTTGGCCCCAAACGCATATTCAAAATGGGCCTACATTCTTACCGTTACACTGTTAGTTCGGCTAGTTTTCACACGTGATTGATTGCATATGGAATATCAAGGTGCAACGTGCATGTTGAAATGCATGGAAGAATTGAGGTGGAAGTCGAAAACGAGCATAGAGTAGGCATTATCAAGGCATCCATAGTTGGATAATTGAATAAAAGGTTATAAATGATCGTCAAAAGAATGAGAGAAAATAGCTTTCAAGTACGTACGAGGTAAAGGAGGCTCATGTTCCTTGTACATCCGAATAGTGGTCGGAAATGTAAGAGAAGTAACATCACCACATACAAGCTTTTGTGTTATTTCTTTTCAAGATCAATTAGGAGTTTTTTTCAAGATCTTTTGTGTTGAACAATTTGATATGTAGAAGAGTGATGCAGCCTCACAAACAGAGGTTACGTGGAGGATGGATGGCTCGAACCGGCCGTACGGCACCTGTTGCGAGTCGGGTAGTGATGAGCGATGGAAGCGAAGCGATAGGCGGATCCGAGTGATGGTCGTACGACGCTTTCACTACGGACAAAGAGGTGAACGAGTGGAGGTGAGGATGGAACGAAGTCACCACGAGCTGGATGGAAGCAACTCGATACTGACGGAGCGAACAACTAGAAATCTCGGATTTCGAAAGTTGTTCAAGAGAGATTCTTTAAGAAGAATGCTTATGCTTTATTGATCAAGGGTGAAAATTTACGATGCTTATGTTTTATTGATCAAGGGTGAAAATTTACAAGGCTGTTAGGGGACTTATATACTCGTCCGATCAGCTATGCCCTTCTAGGGGTCTTGACATTTATTACAAAGATTGACATCTAACTAATTAAAACACAATCGGCGAAACAAATGCCKTARGCTACWTAAGGAAAGAAATCWCADGAKAAGTTCAAATAAGYAATVGTTAGTATCYAAGARAATTAAAATAAATCAAAACTTACCTTAGTGGGATAGAGCCGTTGGGTAGCGCCGGATCGGGTGGAGCCTTAGGCTTCAATGTGCGATATTCCAAAATAGGTAAGTGTCCGTTGCAAGTATTCTTGGCGGGTTGGGCCGAGCTGGTCTCGGTCGTAGCGGGTTGGGCCGGGCTGGTTTCGGTCGTAGCGGGTTGGGTCGGGCTGGTCTTGAGCGGGCCGGGCTGCTAAGTCCACGTCGTCCTGAGCTAGAAAAGCCTTTACCGCGTCGTTGACGTTCTCTTGCAAGGTTCGTGCTCCTGATCGCGTCATGGGCTTGGACCTCATTGTGGGGATAGACCAAGGTGGCACGGCCGCGGAGATGTCGGGTTTGGGGATGCATCATCGAGGATTTATACTAGAAAGAAAAAGTCATATTTAAGCTTCTACGTGAGAAAGAGGGGCTTATGTTACAACTTGTAACTTCATAACATAAATAAGACAACTTGTACATTCATTAGCTTCTATGCTAATTATATTTGGCTGTCGGGAAAAGTTTGTACATTATTAAGCTAGCCGCTTGTGTTGTTTCTCTACTTCCATCGCTCAATTTCTGCTTGATTAAGTGGACCGAACTGCGAGTGATAGTTTCATGGTGGTTGTTAGTAACTTGGCATTGCTTCACAATTTATCACCACAAATGCCAATAAATTTGGAGGAATTTTGCCATGTTGATGTGTACGCGATATTTAAGACTATCATATCATTTATCTCCTTCTGTGTTCACACTCTTTGGAGATTTTCTCAAGCTAGCTAACGATTGGTTAATTTGTTTGGTTGCAGTGTGTCTTTATATGTATGATATGGTTCTAGATGTTGGGTTTGGTCAGTATTGATTCTCATGATTTCGGTCTCATTAACACGGCCACTAATAAACCTTGGTTCTTCATTATGGTATATGGAGAGAGCTATGAACTCGGGATGATAAATTTAAGCAAATTTTGGTTGAAGGCAACAAATTCAAAATTGCGATTGATCCTATTCATTTTTATCATGTCATTTTAGTGGTTTAAATTTCGTTTTATGCATGTATCATGACATCTTT